GCTGTAGTTTTTTGAGAACTTTTGTAAGTTCTTGGTGATGCTGACTTTATGTCTTCTGGAATTTTGTAATTCTCAATCCTTTTGCCTCCCCATCCTCATCTCCCCCTCTTCCTACTCCTAAACATATGTGTGCACACATGTGCATGCACACAGCCTAGGTTCCATGCTTAATAGTGGAGGGGAGCAGGCCCATGAAGAAAAAGGAAAGGCTAACTGCACCATCTGCTTGCAGGAGTGTCAGGCTTTGACCTGGTCTGTGGTGCTTGGACGCCTCTACACATGTGCAAGTCATAGCCTGAGATGGACCAAGAACTTGCCTCTAAAGACCAAGTCATTGCCTCTAAAGACCAAGAACTCTCCAACTGATTCCCCTGTGGCATGGCTCTCACTGTTAGGAAGAATTTCTTAACGTATTTCCCAAAGCCAGTCCTACGCTAGGCCTTCAATGCAGATGGAGAAGTCAGGTCTCGGTTTTGTATGGCTGATCATCAGGTACTTGTAAGACAGTTACACTGTCCCAGAGATGTGTGCCTTCCAGACTTAACACCTCCTTTGCTTCAACAGGTCTTTGTATGGTATAGTCTCCTGGTCTGCCTAACACCACGCTCTTCTCCAACTCCCACCGGTCTGCTTCTAGACCTCACACAGTGTGACAGCTCTTGGAGAGAACAGCTGTGCAGGCTAGAGTAGGATTACTCCCTCTTTATGGAATCTTTTAATTATATTTGGCTATATTAACTTTTCTGGCACTAACATCAGTCATGTCATTGGCTTATTGGGCTTATAGTTGACTAACATCTACAACAAACAGGGCTTCCCTACCTTGCACTTCACCCCGTTGTTTTTGTGGACCTAATAGCAGTGTCTAATATAAATTACCATTATCTTTTATCTAACTAGTTCTGGTCCCACGTTCCTGTTTGTCAAGATCTTTTAGAACCTGATTACATTATTCCCATCACTCAGCAGCTTCAGATCATCTACAAACACAAATTTTCCTCCTACATCTCTACTCAAGTCTATGATAAAATATGTGGGGCTCTCTGCTGGAAACTAGGTTGACTCTGATCCTTATATAGTATCTCCAGTGGTTATTCAACAGTTATCACTGCATCATCTTACATTGGCAGCCACCTGATATTTCTCTATCTTGTCCACAGGAACATCAGGAAGGCTTTGAAAATGAAACACATTGTATAATTTGGGTCTACTGGACTACCACCATTCCCTGAGCTACTGTCAAAAAGTGACCTAAGCCCTAACCAGTTTGGCTCAGTGGATAGAGCTTCAGTCTGTGGACCGAAGGGTCTCAAGGTTCGATTCTGGTCAAGGGCACGTACCTTGGTTGCAGGCTCCTCCCTGGCCCAGGCCCTGGTAGGGGCTCATGCAGGAGGCAACCAATCAATGTGTTTCTTTCATATTGATATTTCCCTGTGTCTTTTCCTCTTTATTCCATTCTCTCTAAAAATCAATGGAAAAATGTCCTTGAGTGAGGACTTAAAAGAAAAAAAAGTGACCTAAAAGCCAGTATTACTTGCTTTGTTCTTACTGATTCCATACTGGCTTCTTGGGTCACTTTGCTCTTAATATTTGCCCCCGATTGGTTACAGACTCATTTCCCCAAATTTTCACAATTCCTTAAAAACCACAAACATGATGAAGCTATTCTCTCTCTGTCTATATTCTGGGGTGCATTTTATCTAGGTCAGGACACAGCAGTGTCTTCTGATCTTTTCACCAAGTTTTGCTTTCTGCTATTTCCTGCCTAATTTTGTTGCACCCTTTTCAATATGGAGAACAGTTTTCTTGACAGTGAAGTCAAAATTAAATAGTAATTGAAGGACACGACTTTGAACCATTCCTCAACATTGCACTAAACAGTGGCCTTATTTTGATCTTCTTTTTGCCCAAATCCTGTTTCAAAAGGGCCTCTTCTTTAGGTGCATCCTGCAGTATTGTTGTTATTATTACTACTACTACTTTTTGGTAATAAAAAATTTATCCTGGGCAATCAGATCTCCTGACATTCTTCTTAAAGTTGGAGCCATTTTTCTACATTTATTGTAGGTGACATTCTCATTTTTTAAATCTCTGCCTGTGATTTTTCAAAATGCGAGTCCACTGAGGGGAACTGTGTGCAAACGCTAGTTTGTACTTTTGGGAGCTTTCCAACTGTCTTCTCCATCTGGCCAGGTGGCGTGAAGTAAATTACTTCCCTGATGGCACTTCCCTTCTTTCTGTTTGTCCCCCTACACATTGTTTTTTAGACCCAGCTCCCTTCCTAGCAAGACTGTGTTTTGGAGTAGGATATACCCTGTAATCACTATATCTGCTCTGAATCAGATAAGGTGTCAACAACAATTTCATAAGTATTTTACAAAGATGTATAGGTGCTCACTCTGTGCCAGGCACTAAGTCTTGAGGATTGTTACCAGCAAGGAGGTACGGCTCTGTGTCAGAGCTTTGGGTATACTTTGTTTCTGACCCTGCTGTGTGCCTGGATAGGTGACACCTAAGGCCATCAATAGCCTTTCTGGTCCTTCTTCAGAACACTCCTCATGTGGGTCGCAAGGTATTTCTGGTACCTTTAGCATTCCTTCTACTCTCTGTAGTAAGGTTTCAAGAATTTACCTGTTTTTCCTCCACATTCTGTTTAAATTGTAATTTCAGTTTCCTTGACAGTGAAGTTAGAATTAACTAGCAATTGAAAGACACGACTAACTTTACAACCTAACTTTTACAGGGCTTTGCCACATAAAATGTTGTTTCTGGCCCACGGGGTTTGAACAATCTCATTAAAAAAAGTTTTAAAAGTAGGAACCTTGCACCCATTATATTAACCCTTACCTTGAAGTGCGTGGTTCTCCAACATCCCTGTACCTGTGAATCCTCTGGGGATCTTGTTAAGGATGCAAGAGGGGATCCTGATAAAAAAGGCTGGGAACGTGCCTCTGTACCAGCTCCCAGCAGTGGGATGCACAGTCTTGGACATTGTGGATCAGCAGTGCCGACACCTGCTGTCATCTCTGCATGCTTCTCTTGGCCCTTGGCCTCAAACTAGCAGCTCACTGATTGCTTCTGTCTTGATTGTCCATGTTTCTCTGACAGGTGGCTGATGGCTTCTGCCATGGGCTGAAAGTGGAGTCTTTTTTGCATCTGCCACACTGGGGAATCCTTCGTGTTCTGTACTCCAGCTGAAGAGGGTTGGCTTTCCTTCTTGGCACGGGCCACACCTTCATCACTCACAGAGCGTTTTCCTTGTGTCACTTTCCCTTCCTCCTCTTGAATGGTTTTGATCTCTTCTACCTTCCCGGAATCCACATTTCCTGGTTTCTACCTTCACACCTCTCTCACTTTCCGTGTAACCAGTCATTTCTCAGAGAAGCCTTTTTGTTACATTTTTGCTCCATTTCATTGGCCAGGTATAATCATGTACCTATTACTGGCAAGTTTTCCCCAGTTATTACCAGTGCTTTCCAGAAAGTTATGTTGTAAACCATAGGCAGAAGGAAAAAGAAAGCCCCTCACATAACTGCAGGAACCTGGGGTGTGCCATTGATCCTATTTAGAGGTCCAATACAGTCCACACCTTTGGTTCAGGCCACCCACATCATAGTATTTGACCAGTAAACATTTATGGTGGTGGCTAGACTTTCACTAAACACAAAATTTATGTTGGCATTAAGGAACTCAGTACTGAAAAGACCATTGTAAAACATGCCCCTACAGACCCAAATTATGTAGAGTGCTTCAAACTTAAGTTAGATATAGGCATGACTAGTTCTGTAAATTAAGCTTAGAAACCAAAAGGATCATGAATGAACCGGTTGAATAAAGCAATAACTTCCAGAGGGCCTCTTTCTGGAGGTGGGTCCGTAGAGGTATGGACAGGACCTGGTGTCCCCTTCCCACACCCCAGCCTTGTCCTGTCTTCTTTCTCCTCTCCCACATTGTTCCAAGCTTAGCATTGGCACTTTACAGGTGATTACCCAGTAAATGACTTTCAGAATCCTGCTTATGAATATTTAGAGAAATGCTCAGATTTTCCCCAGCTGTCATGCTTACTGACTTTGAAATGGTTCCAGTTCTTGGGGCCCCATTGGAACACACATGCTGACAAAGGCCCGACACAACCCTATTTGGCCTATAAAACACTCCTCATCAAGTGCTGCCTGCGCCCCCGACCTCCAGCTGTGTGGGCTGTCCCTTATTTCTCCATACTTCTTATGGGGTTTCTGGCTCCTAATTTCACCTAATCACATTTGAGCTATAAAATTTAGCAGGCACAGAGGGGGGCATGGAGTTGAGGTGATGGGGAAATTTAGCTTATTGCTGCCATGACTACAGATGTGAAACGGATCCATGAATCCATGATGGATCAATCTCACTAAGGCTGGATGTAATTATTAATAATGGTGACAAATGCTGTTGAGCATCCCATCCCAGGATCCTAGAGTGAGAGGCTTTTCTGTTGCTCACTGCAACCTTGCCGAACTTTCTTCTGAGTATCTCCCAGTTGTGGCCACAAGAGTTCACTGGGCTGGCTTGGCTGGTCCTGAGTCAGGGCTGGCTCTGACTGCTCAATGGCACAGGGAGTCTGGGGGACCCCATCACCTTGGGGACCGGTCTGTGATCCGGGAAGGAAATGGTCCCTGAGGGAACCAGGCTCTGTGTTCATGCAGAATAAGAACGGGAAGATGAACGAAGAGACAGGGAAAGCCTGAAGAATGAAACTGCCTCGGTACTTTGCTGATGCTCTTTCTCTGAGGAAGGCCTGGCATGGAGGAAGGTTGTAACAGGACTAGCAGAGGAATTTAACTTCTTACCCAAAATACAACTTCAAGTGGCACAGGAAGCAGTATATATCATCAGCATGAGAGTCCTTAGCTCCGATGTTTCACAGGTTTGGAATGCACTCGTACCCCCACCCCTAACCTCACCCCCAGAGAGCCCTGCTGGGCCAGGCAGCAGGGACTGGGCAGCAGTGCCAGTTCCCTTACCGTGAGTCTCATAGGCGCCCTCTGTCTGCGTGCCCTGGTCTTGCGAGGGCCGAGATCTTCTAACATCCTCATTGAAGGCGATAAAAGTCTTCCTGGCAGAGTGAGGAGACTTGCTGTCAGGTTCAAAGGTGGGAGGAGTGGCGGTGAGGAGGATGTTCGCCTGAGAGACGGCAGCAGCTGGGCTTCTGTCAGAGGGGAGCACAGGGTTCAGTCAACTTCCCAGCAGGGGCCAGGTAGGCACCCATGCACGGTCTGCCGGGAAGTTGGGGTGGTGGTGGCTGCTCTCCAGCCTGCAGACTTCTGCCCATCCCTGATGGGGGACTCACAGGGTAGAAGGGACCAGGTGAGGGCAAATGAGGGTGGGGGCAATGCTGGCTGCTGTCATTCTCATAGGGGAAGTACAGAGTTCAGCAGCCCTTCCTGAGACAGGCCTCCCTGCCTGGGTCAGGGTTCCTGAGGCAGGAGCAGCAGGGAAGGGGCTGCTGGTGAAGAGGCTGAGTGAGAGAGGAGGAGGCTCTTTCCATCCAGGAGACACCACCACAAAGCTGTTCTCTTTCAGCATCTGTGGGCATTCCAGGCGGGTCTTGTGCCACTCCGTGGGTGTGCCTGGGTCTGTGCTGGCCAGTGGGCTGGGGCAGAGTGGCTGTTCCCAGGATGTACCATTGAAAGGGGCCCCCGGGTCACCTGGCAAGATGCTTGGGTCCTAGCCAGGTGACCGCAGGGCTTAAGAATTAGTGGCCACAGTGTCAACTCTTGCCCTGCTCCAGGCCTCAAAACCAGGTCAGGAGTGTCTTCTGGGCTCTGTCCTTCTAGAGCAGTGATGGCGAACCTTTTGAGCTCGGCGTGTCAGCATTTTGAAAAACCCTAACTTAACTCTGGTGCTGTGTCACATATAAAAAATTTTTGATATTTGCAACCATAGTAAAACAAAGACATATTTTTGATATTTATCTTATATATTTAAATGCCATTTAACAAAGAAAAATCAACCAAAAAAATGAGTTCACGCCCTAACTGGTTTGGCTCAGCGGATAGAGCGTCGGCCTGTGGACTGAAAGGTCCCAGGTTCGATTCCAGTCAGGGGCATTTACCCTGGTTGCGGGCATGTACCTTGGTCGTGGGCACACCCCAGTAGGAGGTGTGCAGGAGGCAGCTGGTCGATGTTTCTCTCTCATTGATGTTTCTAACTCTCTCTCTCTCTCCTTTCCTCTCTGTAAAAAATCAATAAAATATATTTTAAAAAAATGAGTTCATGTGTCACCTCTGACACACGTGTCATAGGTTCGCCATCACTGTTCTAGTGGGAGAATGTCTGTCCTGCCTCACTCCCCAGGTGCCCACTGAGAGGCAAGGAGGTCATGCAAACCCTCCTGAAAGGACCTTGAGAGGTCACAGCCACCAACAACAGAGGGACTATACTTAGGCAATGGTGGGCTGCGCTGGTCATCTCCATCTCTGTGTACATTTGCTTAGCACCCTCCCTGCCATGACTGCCCCAGTCTGGGACATTGCAGGGCCTTCTGGGGCACCTGCCAGGGCTCACTGTGGCCTCAGCACCCACCACCTGGGTCAAACACTTGCTCCCTGGCCCATCAGCAATGGGGAGAGTTCAAAGGGGGGCCCACTGACTCCTGGGCCCCAGGGAGGATGGGTGGTTCCAGGCCGCCTTAGAGAGGGGAAGGGCCCTGGCATGTGCTTGGGGACCTTAGGGGGTGGTGGTGGAGTGGGAGAGGGAGCCTTCCTATTTATAAGGGACCCAGGAAACACTTGACTTGAATCTGCTCTCTTTTCCCACTCCCTACCTTAACCAACGTGAGTGTAACGCCTCTTGCCTAAAGGGGTTTGTGGAGGGTTCATTCTCTCAGCAACCTCCTGTGAGGAAAATCCAGGGCCTGTCTGAGCACCCAAGGTTCAGACCTGGACTCTGGGGACCCAAGCCACAGAGCACACGGACAGACCTCTCTGATCGCCATGTGTTCTGCAGGACCCCGGGAACAGAAAACCCACTCAGCTAACCTATGGAGAAAGGACAGGACGGTGGGTGTGCTTGGCATAAAGCTGGCCAGGAACCACGATCCTCATCCTGGGCATGCTAAGTTCCCATGTGGGCTCGTGGGCGCAGAACAGAGAACAACAAAGGGCCTCAGCACTCACTGGCGTGCCCTGCGCGCTGACCACTGTCCTCAGTGGCCCCACGAGTTCATACTCATCTATTCTCACCACAGCCCGTGAGGCCTAAACCCACTGTTACCATATTTCAGATAAGAAAACCGAGGCATAGGGATATTAAGTGGTTGCCCTGCGGCACAGAGCTGGCTGCGTGGAGGAGCTGCGATTCAAACCCAGGCTCTGGAGTTCCCGTTCTCAAGCAGAGCCTTCCCCATGGTCACTGCACTGTCGGGCCCTTCGCTGCCACATTGCTTAATGGCCTGTGAGTGTCAGTAACTGAGGCGATGGGGGGCCTTTGAAAAGCCACTCCCTCTTATACATTGCCCTGGTGGGGTGATCCTGTCAGATCCATGTGTTTGTGCCTCTGGAAGTGTGAAGCATGCAATGGAAGGGCCAGTGGAGAGCAGGAGGGGAGGCCAGCCTTGTCAGGCCGAGGGGTACCCCTGTGTGGAGCCCTGGGCCCTCAAGTTGTAATCTGTTGCTTCCCAATGCCGCAGCGCTGGGATTTTATTCCTGCTTCTCACCGTAACCAACTGGCCTTGTGCTTTCTTTGTATCTAGTGTCAACCCATTTTCCAGTGGAGATAAATAATCATGCTTTGGGAAGGGATTGTAGAGGCCCAGACTCAAGGACCAAGACTGAATCAGAAGTCTTATGTACCTCCCTCCCCTACACCCCCCCCCCCACCCCCGCACAGGTTTCCACAGGGCTGAGCACATTTAAGGCATTTTAATCATTGATCCCATAGGTATGTTATTGACTGTCTACTGTGTGCCAAGCCGTGTGGCAGTTTAATGACTACTCATTGAACGATCATTTAGACTTTGGAAGTATGCCTGAGCAAGGAAGATTGCAACTTCCTTTTGGGCATTCATTCATTTACTCACCACGGGCACTGCCCGTGGGCCCTTTGCTCTTTCTCTCTCCAGCTCAGACTCAGTCCCCCTGCCCTTCCATCTCTGTAGTTCTGGCTACCAGGACTCTGTGAGTGACTGAGTGGCAGAGGGGAGCAGCACTGGGAGGTCCTTTGTGTGTGATTTCCAAGAGCCCTCACCCTGATTGAACCCCTCCTTCCTCAGGGACCTGCTCCCTGCATCCCACTTCTCCTTCCTCCACTCCTCATTTTGGAAAGCTAAGGGCTCTGGAAACATCCCTGAGCATGAATTTTCCACTTTGATTTACCCAAAAAAGAAAACTATTACCTTTCATTAAGATTAGGCTTTCATTAAGATTAGGCGGGGTGTGCGATGGATAAATCACCTGGAGTTCTATTGGGAAAAAGAAGAGAAAGACAATATTGGAAAAAAGGGAACCATCTTTCTTTCTGTTTAAAAATGTGTTGCTAAGTATGTGACGCTGTGGTTGGGGTGGAGGGGCCCCAATTTACAATTTTTATTTTATTTTTACTTTTCGTATTTTATTTTTACTGTCTCTCTAAATGGTTTCCTTTAGAAATTCTGGGGTTGAAATTTTATATTATCAAAGAAAACTCAATAAAGTAATTTTCATGAAATCATGGTTTTGGAAATTCAAGTTTGCTGTGTTAATCTTTTGGGTTATCACAGGGGCTCCCTCTGTGATGGGATGGGGGATAACTGTACAGAAAAGGTGACTGAGGTTCAGAGAATATAAATATTGTAAACATTATTTTTTGACTTTGAAGAACCTGTTTTTCATTTAACCACCTGTTTGCCTTGAATGCTATAACATCAAGAATTTCATGTACAATTGGGATAAAATATGCCACCAATTCTAGTAACACAGCATGGTATAGTGGAAACAGTAAAGAAATGATAATCAGAAAATTTGAACTTGAAACTTACATGTTCAATGCTTATACTTACAGTTTACCCATTTGACAGGACATTATTGAGGAATATTACTTGGTGATTAAAATGATGTCTCCAAAAATTAAGCAACAGAGGCAAATATTGAAGTCACAATGCTAAGTTACAAAAGTAAAATACAAACCTGTATATATAGTATGTTTAAAACAGGAAAAACAAAACCACAAAACCAAGAACCACAACCACTCGATATGCAAAAACTAAGGGTGAGAGGGACAGAATAGAAATCACTGAAATGTAAATCAGTTTTATTTATATTTTGATGTTGGTAGGTTGGGTGATGTTTTTCCACTTTTCAAATTTTCCATTAGAATAAAAAAATAGATTTTATTTCTCTTTATGTCACTGTCTGTTCTAAAATTAAAGCATGCGCACAATTTACTAAAAAGCATAAACAAAGGATGAAAGGAGAAAGGAAAGGAGAGAAGAAAAGGAGGTGATAGGAAGAGAAAGAAGGGAAGGCGTGGGAGCCTGTCCTGGCTCTTCTAATTATTCCCCATGACCTTGGAATGTTCCACTACCTTTCACTAACTCCAGGTTCCTTGTTTGTGAAGTGAGGGGTAACGAATGGCTGGGAGAATGAAAGGAGACAGAGGTTGTGAAATACACTGTATTGGACTGTGCTCCCGACCTTCTTTAGGGCAAGAAAACACAGAAAACGATGCTGTTTGTACAGGAGCAGAGTGGAGGCTGGGGGTAACTGGTTGTGGGGCTCAGCATCTTCCTCCACAACAAATTGTATGGTGTGGGAGAGCTTTCACCGCATCCTCAGATATGACCTTTCATTTAAGTAGCAGTGTTTTTTCTTCACACTGTAGAGAAAGGTATGTTTATACGTAGAGAAACTGAACCTCAGGGAATGTAATGACAAACATGCCAAGGTCAAAGGCCCTACCATGTGCTTCCTCTTCTGACTCTAACCCCACAGCGTTTATTCACATTTTTAAAAAATATATATTTTATTGATTTTTTAGAGAGGAGGGGAGAGGGACAGAGAGTTAGAAACATCGATGAGAGAGAAACATAGATCAGCTGCCTCCTGCACACCCCCTACTGGGGATGTGCCCGCAACCAAGGTACATGCCCTTGACCGGAATCGAACTTGGGACCCTTGAGTCTGCAGGCCGATGCTCTATCCACTGAGCCAAACCAGGGGCAACATTTTACAAAAACTATTTGCAACATTCTGGGGAGATCAGTCATTGATTACTCAGTGGCAATTGATGCTGCATTTATATTCAAGTTGCTCATCTAATTTTGTCTTTCCCCATAAACCATGGGGAAAATCATCGATGTAAAGAAGGGGGGGGCAGTAGTTAGTTTGACACTACCCTGATTTGTCCAGTGCAGTTGGACTCTCTGAAATTTACCTGCCTATAGGTAGTTGGGTGGCAGGCACAGATTCCTCCCACACTCTAGTTCATTTCATCTTTTCTTGTCTTTTTGTTATGTTCATTTCACAAAGTGGGCAAATGTGGCCAGGGGAGGAGTGTAAACGACCCTTCACAAGTCAATGGTAGGGGAGTATAAAATATCTATCTAATAAAAGAGAAACATGGTAATTAGCAGTATGGCCGCTACCCTTCCCATTGGCTAATCAGAGCGATATGCAAATTAACTGCCTGCCAAGATGGCGGCTGGCAGCCATGCACTGAAGCGAACAGGGAGGCTTGTTTGCTCCAGTGACTGCGGACTCCAACGTTCCCCGCCTGACTTGCCAGCCTCTCAGCTGCAACTCTAAGCAACTATGTTGCAAATATAGAAGCTAAACAAAACCCCCAAAACCTGCGTTAGTCAGCCAGGCTTCAGCTAGCCGGACCGCAACATTGTATCAAATACAGAAGGTAAACAAAGGCCAGAAACCTGCTTTCAGCAGCCAGCAGCCGAGGCCACAGAGCTAAAGCTGGCCCAGAATAAAAAAGAAAAAGAAAAAAAGGAGCGGTTGGGAGCTTCAGTCACCCGCCAGCCTGAAAACGGCCCTCAGCCCCTCAACCAGACCGGCCAGGCACCCCAGTGGGGACCCCCACCCTGATCCAGGACACCCTTCAGGGTAAACCAGCCGGCCCCAACCCATGCACCAGGCCTCTATTCTATATAGTAAAAGGGTAATATGCCTCCCAGCACCGGGATAAGAGGAGCAGCGAGGCCTCCCAGCACCGGGATCAGCGTGACAGGGGGCAGCGCCCAAACCCCCTGATCAGCCCTGCTCTGTGGGTGATAGAGAGCAGTGCCCCAACCCCCCCCCCCCCCCAGCCCTGCTCTGTGTGTGACGGGGTAGAGCCATAACCTCTCCATCGTCCCTGCCCTGAGTGTGACAGTGGCGGCGCCTCAACCCCCTGATCGGCCCTGCTCTGTGGGTGATAGAGGGCGGGGCCCCAACTCCCCTATCGGCCCTACTCTGTGAGTGACAGGGGGGAGCTCCCCAACCCCCTGATTGGCCCTGCTCTGTGTGTGACAGGGGGTGATGCCCCAACCTCCCCATCGATCCTGCCTTGAGTGTGACAGGGGGCGGTGCCCCAACCCCCCAATCGGCCCTACCCTGAGTGTGACTAGGGGTGGCATCACAACCTCCTGATCCGCCCTGCTCTGTGCATGACAGGGGGCAGCGCCCCAACTCCCCAATCGGCCTTGCTCTGAGCCCGACCAGGGGCTGCACCTAGGGATTGGGCCTGCCCTCTGCCACCCGGGAGCAGGCCTAAGCCAGCAGGTCGTTATCTCCTGAGGGGTCCCAGACTGCAAGAGGGCACAGCCCGGGCTGAGGGACCCCCCTCCCCCCCGAGTGCACAAATTTTTGTGCACCGGGCCTCTAGTAATAATAATAATAATAATAATAATAAAATAACAAATGGCTTACAATTAAAGAGGCTTTAAATGCTATGTGCTTGGCATAGCTCATAATGTTTTACATAATTTAACTCCTTTCATTCTCACAAACATCCCGTAAGGTAGGTCAATTGTTTTTCCTAATTATAGTTAAGAAAACCAAAACACAGAGAGGTTAAGTGACTTTCCCAAGCTTGTGCAATGAATAAGTGGAAGAGAGTTGGCATTAGAACCTGGACAGTAAAGCCCCCGAGAGAGGAAGAAAACAGCTCCTTGTGACAGGCTTATTAATATCTGTCACCAAATGACAAATAAATGACACTTGTCCTCCTCCCCTCGCACCTGCTCCTTTGGCTAGTTGATCATGGCACTCTTTCCTCCTGAATCCAAGTGGAGACTCAGAATCCTTCTTAACATAGTGCTCCACCATGTTAAACCTCAAGTAACTAATCCATCAGCATGAGGATGGAAGCCCATTTGTCATCTCTAGGGCTCATTTTATGGGCTCTGATTAATTCACAAAGTTGTTTTAAAAATAAATGTGTGTGTGTATACATATGCCTGACTTTATGAAATGAATGAAATTGAACTTGGTTCAATTTGCATTTACTGAACATCTGCTATATGGATCAGGAAGGCACTCTTGTTATGCACTGAGGCTTAAAACAAAGGATAAACAAAGTTATGTCTTAAAGAGGACACTATTCCACATAAATTTTGATGTAAATCCTTTTGAAAAGTTAAGAATCTTCTTGTAAACCTCTTGTACAGAGTTTTCATAGATCAAGACATTCTGCCATGTGCCTTTAAAGGCATTTTGGCATTCCCCTACAGTGTTTTAGGTGCCTCTCTCATTTTTTTTTTTTAGCAAGGCATTTATTTTCATTTTTCTTTCTTTAAGTTGAATTTATTGGGGTGACATTGGTTTGAAAAACCACACAGGTTTCAAGTGTACAACTCAGTAAGACACCATCTGCACCCTGCATCGTGTGCCCATTGCCCAGGCTTTACACACAGTGCGGTGCGTTACAGCATTGTATTTGTTCTTCTCCAGTGAGTATTTATTTACAAAGGTCCAGTGCACGGAGGAGACTTATTAAGAATGCTTGATTCATACTGTGCAAAAGAAAGGGCTTGAATGCTATTTTTCAGTATTAGAACTATACTTACTTGGTACTCGAATAGCAGGGATATTAGGATTCTGAGGAGCTTAATGGTAGAGGCACACAGAAAAAAGGGCTTCCCAGCAATAGAGAAATTATCTCTTCCATGTCCCAACTAAGCATCCATGAGGGTAGTAGGAACCAAGGTTAATACATCTGATTTGATCAAGAGGGACATAAAGGTGAAATGCCTGTTGGCTGCTGAGAACACCCGGTCTTTAGGATATAGGTTGTATATAATCAGATGGAGATTTAAAATTCAAGCTGCTTGAGATGCTTGTAGTTGGTAGCAGAACTGGATCCAGAAAAATAGTTTAGTTCTATTTCTAGGTCAACATTAAGATGCTGCACATGACCTGGATTTTTAAACTTCCCATACCTAGTTGGATATGGCCATGCAGTCATGATATCAAGGGAAGACACCATGTGGGCTATGGGTGAATGCACATCAACCACTTCTAACAAAAGCACGAGGAGACCACTGCCAAATAACAAAACCCAACTTAAGCAAAAGTTGCCAATTGCAGAAACAGCATTGGAGAAATGTCGGCCCTAGTATGAGAGAAATAACTCCAAAGTTAAATACTCACCAGCAGGGTAAGATGATACCTTCCCAGGGCCAGGTAGGCACCCTAAGAAGCATACTAGTGTCTGTTGACTTAGCAACAGGTTGTGGGAATGCATTCTAGGAAATAATTAGAGGTCATTGATAAAATTAGGCTATCAAAGTGCTGTTTAAAAAAGTAGCAAAAAGTCAGAAGCAATGAATAATCAATAATAAAGGATCAATTAAAAATATTATGGTTTGCCCTGATTGGTGTGGCTCATTTGGTTGGAGCATTGTCCCGAAAGATCACGGGTTCGATTCCGGCCAGGCCACATACCCAGGTTGTGGGTTCAATCCCCAGTCAGGGCACATGCAGGGAAACAGATTGATGTTTCACTCTCATATTGATATTTCTCTTTCTCTCCCTCTCCCTTCTTCTCTCTCTAAAGATCAAGAAAAGATTTTTTAAAAAGTATGGTTTGTATTATACAGTTGTATTATATAATACAATGCAATGAGGCAATTACAACAATTTTTAGATAATAAATGAAATGATATTCATATAAGTATGTAATATTTATTTATAATTATAAGTATATTAAAAATGTACCTTAAAAGGCAAATTACAAACACTATATAAAGTCTGGGGAGGATATAACCAAAGTGTGAAAGAAATGATCATCTCTGGATGGTAGAGATCTTTGCTATTTTTTGCTTATATATAATTTCTCAAACATCCACAATGAACATGTATTACTTGAGCAAAAAGGAAAAAAAAAAGGTAAAAATCATGGGTTCTTTTTTTTTTTTTTATGAACAGGTGCTTTACATTCATCAAGTCTCCCTGCCTGCTCTGTTGACATGGTGCTTCGGGGCATGGCTAGTGAAGCTGTGAATAGAACTTAGTAATGAGTCTTCCTACCTGTTCATTCCATGGGTAGGTTGATAATTTGAACTTTGGCTAGATTTCAAATTTCTTCTTTTTTTCCTGAGCACTTTGGGAGACCCTCCTCCAGATACTCACCCTTTTCTAGAAAGCCTTCTTCATACAAATAATTTTTTTCCTTCTGTAGATGCTTTTTCCCCTTCAGAGACTCCTGTTCATTCAGATCCTTCTTTCCTTTCCGATGCTTTTCCTTCTCCAGATAGTCATCTTCCTGTGGATACTTTTCCTCCTCCAGATACTCATTCTTCTCCAGATACTCATTCTCTTCCAGATACTCATTTTCTTCAAGAAATGGAGAGTCTCCCTTTGAACTCTTCTCCTCTCCCTTGGTATACTCTTCCTCTGAAGAGAAGATCTGTGTGGGTTGTTGGAAAGTGGTGGGAAGGAGAGGTGATGACTCTCCTGATGACTGACTACTTTTAGTAGACATGCTGGGAGGCAGTAAGCAGATGAAACCCTTCAGCAGCAGGTAAAGTCACTTCATCCTGGTAACCAACAAAGGAATAAAAGTTCATTAGTTAGTAATTGACTCCTGCATGTGATTAAAATACTCATTTCAGTCAGTATTCTTGGGTGACCCTTTGAGTATGTAGATCAATACATGACCCATGAAAAGGCACAAAAGGAGGAAACAGGAGATTTACCCTCAAGAACATAGTGAAGAGAGTACACCTGAAGGCAACACCTTCGAAATTATGGCACAATGTGAAGGAAATAAAAAGGGCTGGAAAATGAAGACATGATCAGTGGTGCTATTATTAGAGAAAACTTTTACTTATAAAAAAAATATTTATTGCTACAGTAAGCAATACAGAAACTGTCTTCCAGGAGATTGAAATCCAGGGAGAAAAACAGTCATGCAAACAGATTTCTATATAAAAAGTGATGAACACAATGGAAGAGGTACAGACAGGATGGTATAGATGTCCTGTTTGGTCCTTGGTTAGCGAAGGCCTCTGCAGGTGGAGGTCTGTGCAGCACGTAATCACGGCTGCCACACCCACGGCCACCTCTGCTGGAAGGACCACCAGCATGTTACTAATGTTTGAATCCCCAGCTTCAACGCAACTGTGAGCACCTTGGCTCCCAAGGAAGTCTTCCATGCTCCGTGCTATGCTCCATCTGTTTCATTTTTCATTTTCATCCAAGTTATTATTTGCTATATTATTTATTTGCATGTCTGTCTTCCCAACAGAGTGTGAACTTCTTGAGGGCAGAAAGGATTGAGTCTTGTTTAAAAGTATTTTTCGAATCCTTTCACTCTTCTCTATCTCCACTGTGAGTATCCACAGTGAACTATGTCATTTCTAGTCTGGATTGCTACAGTGCACTCTTCAATGGCCTTCCTGCCACCATTGCTGCCACCCTGCTAGTGTTCTTGTGGAAATATAAATCAAATCATGATATGCATTGCTTAAAAATATTCCAGTGGCTTTCCTGTGCACTTAGAGTAAAATGTAAACACCATTCCACACCTTCCAGGACCTGGCGAAATCTGCTGCCTGCCAGTTTCCCTGGCTTTTCTTGCCATTCCTTCCCTATTCTCTTACCCTGTTATTCTCTCCTATAACACCACTATTTCTTTTTTAAAAATTGATTTTAGAAAGAGAGTAAGGGAAAGGAGAGAGAGAAGGAAACATCGATGTGAAAGCATAACATTGATTGGGTGCGCCTCTCCCCCTACTGTGGATGGAGCCCACAACCCTGGCATGTGCCCTGACCCAGAATCAAACTGGTGACCTCTCGGTGCATAGGATGTTGCTCAACCATTTAAGCCACTCCTTCCAGGGCCTACTGTTTCTCATTATGTGTCTGTGTGTACTTGTTCAATCTTTCTTTTCCACTAGCCTGAGTGTCAATGACAGTGACCTTATGTGACCCATTTCCCACTCTATCACCAATGGTTAGCTTAGTGTCTGATGCAGAATAGATATCCAATAAGTACATGATCAGTGACTGAATGAAAGGCCAAGATGAATGACTCTAAAGCATTGCACTCCAAAGTTTTAAATATCATAATACTTATTCTGCACAATAGGATAAGTTGAAGAGGCTGCTCATTGTGGAGGCCACCTTCCCAGAATCCTTCTGTTTGCTCTGAGGACTTAAGAAATCTTAGCCTAACTTTTTCTGGATCTCTGATTGGAAACTCTGTTCTAGAGACCCAGGCAGATAAAGTAATTAGGATCATTTTCTAGCATATATGCAACATGATGCTCGAGATGAGAGAAGTGATGTGTGAAGACATTCATAATGGACCAATTGCTTATTTTGTCCACCTACAGCAGAGGTCCTCAAACTTTTTAAACAGGGGGCCAGTTCACTGTCCCTCAGACCGTTGGAGGGCCGGACTATAGTTTAAAAAAAAACTATGAACAAATTCCTATGCACACTGCACATATCTTATTTTGAAGTAAAAAAACAAAACGGGAACAAATACAATATTTGTATTTGCATGTGGCCCGCAGGCCGTAGTTTGAGGACCCCTGACCTACAGGGTTGCTAGAGCCCCTGGACTCTTGGATTTTAATAGGATTAGCCTGGGGCAGTGTGGTGAACATAGGGGTGTGCTGCCCAGAACTCTTTTCCAAGAAGGACTAGGGAATGTGGCCAACAGACGGCCACACCCACCAGCTTTGCTAGGATCTGCTTCAGCTGCAGAAGTCATGCCCTTCTCAGGGCAGTCTGTATCTAAGACTAAGCAAGGTGAGGGTATAAAAATCCAGCTGAGCCATTTTGGCTCAGTGGTTAGAGTATCGGCCTGTGGAATAAAGGGTACTGGGTTCAATTCTGGTCAAGGGCATGTACTTCGGTTGCAGATTCCTCCCTGGCCCAGACCCTGATCAGGGTACGTGTGGGAGGCAACCAATCAATGTGTTTCTCTCACATTCTTTCTGTCTTCTCCTCTCTCTTCCACTCTCCCTAAAAATCAATGGAAAAAATATCCTCAGGCGAGGATTAACAAAACAAACAAACAAATCCAGCCAACCCCAGGTGCGAAGCCTCAGAGGTGATGTTCACCCCAGAGATTTGCACCAGGCCAGCCAAGCTAGCTAACACTTCCACAGCACAGTCTCCCTCTCAGGCTTGTGTCCTTGCCCTTCCTTTCTCAGGTGTTGGTACCGAATGAACGTTTCTCATCTCAACAGGTTACATCACAATAGTTTGTACCTTAGAGTCTATTTTCAGAGAACCCATCCTATGACAGGCAGCTTCATGAAATGTAAATCTGGAAGAGAATTGATTGCAAGATTGAGGAAAGAGAAAGGTAAAGGCCTCATGGATAGTTTGATACTTTGCAGGCGTGGGGAATGTCCAGCCCATGGGCTGTATAAGGCCCGCAAAATCATTTGATCTGGCCCTGCCAAGGCATTAGGGTGAGTTAATTAAATGTTTGACCAAATATAGCAGTAGCAGCCTAATTTTTAAGTTAATAATTTTGTATGGCTCTCAAATGATGTTATAAATATCCAAATGGCCCTTGGCAGAAAAAAGGTTCCCCACCCCTGCTAAAAGGTTGGGAGGGTGAAGAGTAGTCAGATCGGCCAGTGGCAGGTAAAACTGACCTGGCAAAGAGATGACAAGGCGGAGAAGTAAAGGCAGAGTCATGACAGAGAACTTAAGAAACCAGTATGAAGCATCTTGTGTTGGATGGTGATTGGGAAAGTATTAGGATTAAAGCAACTCTGGAACAAGAGGATCCTTGAGTCATTCACCAAGTAGTTAGAAACTAGCAGAAACTGGAGTCTTTGTCTGCAGTTGACTCACTCTTCTCACCAGTCACCTCACTGCTCTGTGGTCTATACATGTCTTTGCCTGTAGGCTACCTCAAATGGTTTTTGGAAGAGGTGAGGAACATGAGATGAGGATGGAGGGTAGTGTCTTTGCAGCAAAGGGTGAGCTGCGAGAAAGCATACATATGGGGCCCATACCTATGTCTACCTGAGCCTCTTCTGTTGTAAGGAAGCCCTCCAACCTTATTTTGATTTAAATCTAAACACACAACTAAAGCGGTCCTCTTCTGATCCCACTTGCTTCTGATGTCGACCCTGTAAGCAGAGCAAGGAGGAAGGGGCTGGGATGGAGCGAGCAGTTGAGAAATCGTCTGTCCAGCCTGAGTCTGGAAGCAGGGAAGAAGCACAGTCAGGCACCAGCCACCCCATCAGACATGTGCTCACCCTTGAGGGATCCCAGATAAAAAATAAAAATCAGCCGGTCCCCTGGACAGCCCAGAGTGCCTTTGTCAACAGCATGCTGTCACTCAGGGTTAAGAATCTTTTCTTTTTATTTTCTCATCAGGCCTTGTAGAAAGTCTCCAGTCAGTTGCATTCTCACTTCAAAGATTAGAAAAGAAACTGTACTGTAGATACCCTCCCTTTAATTATCCTAGACATTTATTTTAAAAAGCTGTTAAGCAGAAATAAGTAGTAATGGCAACCGGTTACCCAGTGTCTGAAGCCAATGTCCTTGTGTTGACTTGTGATTCAGATCTTGACTCATTCTGACCCTCATTCCTGACAGATCGAAGACTAATGTTTGCAGCCACAACAGGAAACATCAACTTCATAAGAGCTGATTATAACCAGCTGATTGCATTTCATTTACCTCTAGACTAGCTTCACAAAATGGCTGCTTCAATCAAAGCAGCCGGCAGACATTTTATTCAGCTTAAATAATTAAAAAAAAATAGAGTGAATATTTAGGATTGGCAGAATTCACACAAAAAAATCAAGGCTTCTGGCTTCTCTTGGAAATAGGAGTCTTGGGCAACTGCTGGCTGCTTTCCCACGTGGAACCGGTGATACCGCCCTCTTTGAAAGGGACAGCACTTTCCATTTCTGCTTCTGTCCCTACCTCCTGCTCAGTTCTCAATCATCACACGTTGGTTATTTTTCTTATAATAGAGCCATAGTTTTCTGTCTCTATAAAAAAAAAAAATGGAGGCATGTCTCTGTGAATCGTGGGGAGGTCTGACCTTCCTCATACTTTACCTGCTCAGGCCTTGGCTTTATCTTTCCAGGCGCAGAGAGGTGGGGTCTTTGCTCCAGGCTATTTGGTGGCCCCAGGTACCCTGTTTACACAGTTCACCACTGAATACCAGCACCCAGCATGGTGTTTGGCACTTGCTAAAAGGCTTGTGCTTTGGAAACCAAATCAATGCACACAAAGGGACTTACCACTTGGGTGGGAACAAAGTCCATGGGGCATGAAACCAGCTTTGCTTTGTACAACTCATGTGGCCCTAGTTGCTGGCCCTGGGCAGAAAGAAATACAAGGACATGATTTGCGAGCCTGGCCATACACCTATCTGATCCCTCATGCTTTCTCCTGCCCTCCCCTGCCCTCTGGACCATCAGAACTGGTATATTTTCCCAAGGACCTCATTTGACCCAGGTGTCTTTTGTCATCACCATTCTCACCTTTCCATTC